AGAGGAGCCTGATAACTAAAAGATCTGCCTCCCATTCTACTTTTAGAAATTCTAGGTACCACTAGTAAATTGCAGGTGAGAACGTTTTTTCATATTGGGTCTCAAAGTGCAGCTGTTGGACATCTGGTTCAATCTTAAACACACCCGTTAGTTTACCATGTTTCTCCATTTTCATCCTCTGCTTTCAGATCTATGAGGCCGCCCTGCGTTGGTTGAAGCACGACTTGCCCAACAGACGACAGCATCTGGCCGAGGTGTTGAGCTGCATTCGCTTTCCTCTCATGTCCACAGACTTTCTGTTTGAAACGGTGCCGAAGGAGCCGCTGATTGGAGACAGCCCCTGGTGCCTCAGCATGGTCATCGGTGAGCAGAGGATGCTGAGCTGAAAGGCGCGCAGCGGCGGTGAATGTGTGAGGGACTTTCTCTGCTCTGTCAGGTGCCGTGAATTCCCGCCTGAACTGGAGGGACCACAAGGACCCGGTGGAGACGTGTCGACCCAGGATGAAAAAACGCAAACACATTTCTCTGTTTGGATACTTGAAGCCCGACCCCTGTCGCTTCTTCAACCCCAAGGTGCTTCTGGGAAGTTTTTCATCCGTTTTTATCCCAAAGCGTCCTATGAGCTCATTTCTATGGGGCGCCATTTCTAAAGTTAATCGCTGGAAAAAATGATGAGCAATATTTATTATTAACCCCCCGCCCCCCACTTTCTTTCACCATGTCATTCATTTATAAAAATCTGACTTTGTTAAATAAATGTTAAGTTTGGAGATAAAACATTTAGTTTGCAAAGTGCAATGTCATCTCAAGTGCCTTGAGATGACATGTGTTGTGAATTTGGCGCTATATAAATAAACTGAATTGAATTGAATTGAATTAAATGCTTAGCTTTTTAAATAAATATTTAGCTCCAAACTAAATAATTGGTTTGCAAATTCGTTTGATAAATTAATATTTAAATCCAAACTGAATATTTAATAAAGTAAGAGTGAAAAAATGACTGGGAGGAAGAAAGAACTCCCTTATTTTTCTCTTAAAACATCCTAAATAACAGTAAATATTTCTGCCACTTCTGCAGGACTCCAAGTGGACGGCCATCCACTGCTCCTTGGAGAAGCGCTGGAACGCGGCGGCGGTGTACCTGGACGACGAGGTCTTCATATTGGGCGGCTCGACGTGCCAGGGTCTGGTGAGGCGCGTCGACTGCTACAACATCGCGTTCCAGAGGATGTACTCCAGGACGGATCTGCCGATGGCCCGAAACAAGCTGGCCGCCTGCGTCTCTCAGGGGAAGATCTACATCTCAGGGGGGATGGTAGTGAGTGAGTACAGCTCTCGGTTACCAAGCAACGCTCTCTGAGCTCTCCTCCTGTTTTATACCGACCCCTAACATCTGGCATCAGTCCAGCTCGATCTACGACTCCTGAATGAAGCAAACCAGAGAAAAAGCTTAATTTCTGGAATTTATCAAAATATTTTTCTTGCATTTACAATAAATTTCCAGAACAAACCAATTTAAAAGCATATTAAAAGATAAATCTGTTAAAGTTTTAAAGCATGAGCCATTTATTTTTTTATTGTCCTCTGAAAGGTGTTTTTTCAGCATGAAGTTGGTTTTCTGAGCAGCTTTTTTCGTATAAAGCATAAAGATCAGGACCAAAGATGTTGCAGTTACTGCCCCACAGGAGTCGCTGTTCTCAATCTTAGTTTATATTTATCTTTAGTAGCAATAAAAAGAAGATAAAACGTAACGAATCAGGAATGTCTCATTTCTGATAATAAACCTGGTACAAAGTACTCACCAGCAGTAAAAGTATTGATACTCATAGTCAATCTCAACTACAAGTAAAGGTTAGTCAATAATCTACTTGCTAAAGTACTGAAGTACTTTTGAAAACACTTAAGTATTCACAAATGCAAATTCTTGTAACATCAGTACATTTCTGTGTATTTTCAGAGTAATTTTAAAGGACCTGGTAATCAGAAACCACCTGATGTATTGTTGCATAGAACCGCCTACTATAGATTCTACACCACCTTGAACGAACAACAGCATAAAAAGGCCACAAAAATAAGCACAGATATTTTGAAGTCTTATTTAAACAAACTAAAGAGGAAATGGGAGATTCTTTATTCTCTCATTTTCACAGTAGAATAGAGGTTTAAGGTTGAATCTGACCACAAAGAAACTAACTCTGCTTTGAGACTCGTCCTATTGAACAACTTGGCCACATGGCAACAACTGGGGGAAAAAATGAAAGTACTTAAGTATAGTAATCATGTAAATGCACTTTGTTACTTTCCTCCACAGCTGCTGACTAGATGGCTGCAGCTCTGCTTTACTCTGCTGGGTTTATCGCTAATTCTGACATTTTGAATTGAAAAACTTCCTGGATGGGAAGAGAAACGTCTTCAGACTTGGGGAAAACAAGTCCAGTGGATTGTTTTTAAA